ACATTACCAACATGGAGACAACTTGTACACAACGTAAAGTGTTTGTATTATGGTATAATACAAACGTGTATAAACCAAAACCAGATGCGTTCATCTCTTTGTTTACATCGCACCTCTCTCTCCTCTCTCGTTTACTCCTTCTTCCTCTCTCTCTCTCGTTCATTCGTTTTACCTCGTTTACTTACCTCTCACTGTACATTAAGACTACAAATATTTTAAGGTAAGTAATGATTGTACTCTATATGCATTTTCTCACTCTGGAGTGTTTTAAATGCCGTATTATATTATATGTCGGTGGGGTGGCCTGGCGTGGCTGGCTACCATACCTCCCACACCTGACTTCCTACAAACAAATACTACTCACCCCTCACCCTACATTAAGACTACAAATATTTTAAGGTAAGTAATAAATGTATTGCATATGCATTATATTGCTTTGGGGCACTTTAAATGTTATAGTGTATTATGTGTGGGTGGGGTGGCCTGGCTGGCTACCATACCTCTCACACCTGACTTCCTACAAACAAATATTACTCACCCCACACCCTACATGAAGACTACAAATATTTTAAGGTAAGTAATGAGTGTACTGTGTGTATTTTACTTTTTATTGTTTTTAATGCCTAGTTTTATTGCTAACTTAATATATGTCAGTGTAAACTTGTTATCTGACATTTATATGCCAATAATAACCCAACAAAAAGCCACAGTAAGAATTATCACACAATCCAATGCTAGGTAACACACCCCCACCCTTCAAAGACCTATGCTTACTCACTGTTCATAACACCCACACTTACTACTCTGCAATCTACATTTACAGAACCATAAATTCCAATATTAACCCTGAACTAAAACACTTTCCTGATAGTTGTGACAGAACCCATAGACATAATACCAACACAAACATCTCTATGACATTACTCGTGTCCGGCTAAATGTATATAAAAATTCAATGTACATAAAAGGGCCTAAAATCCAGAACTCCCTGCCTGAAAATTCTAGAACTGTCGACTCAACCACCATTTTCAAATGCACTGTTTAAAAACACTTCATCTCCCTAACACACCCCACCGATAGCTAACACACCCCACCGATAGCTAACACACCCCACCGATAGCTAACACACCCCACCAGTAGCTAACACACGCCACCAGTAGCTAACACACCCCACCGGTAGCTAACACACCCCACCGATAGCTAACACACCCCACCGGTAGCTAACACACGCCACCGGTAGCTAACACACGCCACCAGTAGCTAACACACGCCACCAGTAGCTAACACACGCCACCGGTAGCTAACACACCCCACCGATAGCTAACACACCCCACCAGTAGCTAACACACGCCACCGGTAGCTAACACACCCCACCAGTAGCTAACACACCCCACCGGTAGCTAACACACCCCACCGGTAGCTAACACACCCCACCGGTAGCTAACACACCCCACCGGTAGCTAACACACCCCACCAGTAGCTAACACACCCCACCGGTAGCTAACACACCCCACCAGTAGCTAACACACCCCACCGGTAGCTAACACACCCACCGGTAGCTAACACACCCCACCGGTAGCTAACACACCCCACCGGTAGCTAACACACCCCACCAGTAGCTAACACACCCCACCGGTAGCTAACACACCCCACCGGTAGCTAACACACCCCACCGGTAGCTAACACACCCCACGGTAGCTAACACACCCCACCGGTAGCTAACACACCCCACCGGTAGCTAACACACCCCACCGGTAGCTAACACACCCCACCGGTAGCTAACACACCCCACCAGTAGCTAACACACGCCACCGGTAGCTAACACACCCCACCAGTAGCTAACACACCCCACCGGTAGCTAACACACCCCACCGGTAGATAACACACCCCACCGGTAGCTAACACACCCACCGGTAGCTAACACACCCCACCGGTAGCTAACACACCCCACGGTAGCTAACACACCCCACCGGTAGCTAACACACCCCACCGGTAGCTAACACACCCCACCAGTAGCTAACACACCCCACCGGTAGCTAACACACCCCAGGGTAGCTAACACACCCCACGGTAGCTAACACACCCCACCGGTAGCTAACACACCCCACCGGTAGCTAACACACCCCACCGGTAGCTAACACACCCCACCGGTAGCTAACACACCCCACCGGTAGCTAACACACCCCACCGGTAGCTAACACACCCCACCGGTAGCTAACACACCCCACCGGTAGCTAACACACCCCACCGGTAGCTAACACACCCCACCGGTAGCTAACACACCCCACCAGTAGCTAACACACCCCACCGGTAGCTAACACACCCCACCGGTAGCTAACACACCCACACCGGTAGCTAACACACCCCACCGGTAGCTAACACACCCCACCGGTAGCTAACACACCCCACCGGTAGCTAACACACCCCACCGGTAGCTAACACACCCCACCGGTAGCTAACACACCCCACCGGTAGCTAACACACCCCACCAGTAGCTAACACACCCCACCGGTAGCTAACACACCCCACCGGTAGCTAACACACCCCACCGGTAGCTAACACACCCCACCGGTAGCTAACACACCCCACCGGTAGCTAACACACCCCACCGGTAGCTAACACACCCCACCGGTAGCTAACACACCCCACCGGTAGCTAACACACCCCACCAGTAGCTAACACACCCCACCGGTAGCTAACACACCCCCGTCAAAACCCCCGTAGCTAACACACCCCACCGTAGCTAACACACCCCACCAGTAGCTAACACACCCCACCGGTAGCTAACACACCCCACCGGTAGCTAACACACCCCACCGGTAGCTAACACACCCCACCGGTAGCTAACACACCCCACCGGTAGCTAACACACCCCACCAGTAGCTAACACACCCCACCGGTAGCTAACACACCCCACCGGTAGCTAACACACCCCACCGGTAGCTAACACACCCCACCGGTAGCTAACACACCCCACCGGTAGCTAACACACCCCACCGGTAGCTAACACACCCCACCGGTAGCTAACACACCCCACCGTAGCTAACACACCCCACCGGTAGCTAACACACCCCACCGGTAGCTAACACACCCACCGGTAGCTAACACACCCACCGGTAGCTAACACACCCCACCGGTAGCTAACACACCCCACCGGTAGCTAACACACCCCACGGTAGCTAACACACACTACCAGTAGCTAACCACATGAAAACTATCTTAGCTTGCACATATCCAAAACAAAATACAAATACACTTATTTGATATCTGTGACTTCCCCTAATTTACACTAATTTACACTATGTCAACATAAAATTCTGAATCTAGCTTTTGCTACATGATTCTTAAGCTAGTCATAAGGTTGTCTAAGACACTCCATTCTGGAGCATTAATAGAAACTGTATCATGCCAAGATGAGACCATTCCTATTAACCCTTTGACTGTCACAAGCCCCTTTCTGAAACTGTCATTCTATGTCGAAAAATTTTTGGAAAAAAAAAAAAAAAATTATGAAATGATAATCTTTTCCAGATGGTAATGACACCAAAAGTACGGAATTTGGTCGAAAACTCACGGAATTACGCTCCCGCGAAGTTAGCGGTCTCGGCGACATATACGCATCGGCAATTTTGCCGATTTTGAGCCCTGATTTTGGCCAATTCCGTTGTTCAAGTTGACCAAACTCATAGCTATTTCTTTAGAACTCCATTTTTTCTATCAATTGAGTACAAGAAACTGCCCATTTACTGATTTGAACTACCCAATAAAGTGGTCAGAATTTGGCAATTTGGCCAATTTCACTCAAATTAAAAAAGATGCCAATTTCAAAATAGGGTCCAGAATAAACAATGTAGACATTCTTGGCATTAAAATAACATCCTTTATTCATTAGTCATGTCTCTAGGCCCCCTCTTATGTTACCACTGCTTTCTATTTTGATTTTTTATTCATACAAAAAATACAAAATTTACTATTATGCAGACTACTGCATTATTGTAAAAATGGTATAAATAATATCAGTGCACTAGTGAAAGAATATTAGACTCCCCAGTTGACGTGTATTGGACATTTGGTGTGATTTGCTTACTCTTGAACATTGGTAAAAATCGAACATTTCCACTACTTTGAGCTCAATTTCAAGGTCATTTTCATAGTGAAACTAATCAAAATCATCTATATTTCTGTAATATGTTTTCCATTTTATCACATGAGACCATGAAAACGTGAATACAACAATAAATACTATACGAAAACACGCCTCAAAGTCGGCGTTTTAATCCAAAAAAACGGTCAGAGTTTGCTGCAGGATTTTTTTTATGTGGTGCACACTGGCCACACAAACCCATTCTCTCACATGTGGGCCTACCAGCTTTCTCCTGCTTGATTTGAAGCCGCTATAATTATTGAGTATATATACGTCCGAAACACTAGCTCGTAAGACGTATATATACGACAAAAACAGTCAATGGGTTAATTGAAAAACTAATTGTTAATTTTTTAAATGTGTTGAACTACCTCACTTTTGTAAATTTAGCTACCTCACTTTAATACCAGTATGATTCATAACCTGTGTCAATATAGAGTAAGAAATAGTATTAGTCTGCCCGAAATGCCTAGGCATACCTAGGCATATTAGTGGCCTTCTTTTTAAAAAGTACTTTATTTTATAATTATCTTATAATATGTAAACCACTCATTGTAATCTATACAGAGAAATAAACATTTGAATTTGAATTTGAATTAATAACTGGAAAAAAAGGGCGTTCTGCTTTCCAGTGGTAGCCTGGAACCTAACCTGCCATTTAAGTGGAGCCCTACCGTACATCATTAACAAAACATTGTCACACATACAGTATACAGTACAGCAATCCATCTATAATTTTAATGAATAACCACTAAGGCTCATATTACACAGTTCTGTGTTTTTGGATATTTCAGTTTATTTTGAAGTTGTTATTTCTCCATAATATCTAGAATATCACCTTATTAGGGACACTTACCAATTCTGGTATGCCATTAATTGCTGGAAGATGAACTTCTGCCTGGCCTTCTGCTGACATTTCAGTAAGTGACTGTTGGTCTGGTGCAGAGGTTCTCTCTTCAGTATTAGCTCTGGTGGGGGTGGGTGGTGTGGAAGCAGGTGAAGCACTAGTCTTGCTACGATTGAAAGGTTTGCGAAGTAACTCCTTGATGGCAGCCGAGCGAGTCTTGAGCGAGAGTGAGTCAGAACGCTGGTGCTGTGGCAGAGAAAAATGGTGCAATCATTTTGAAAGAAAACAATGGCTTGGTTCCATCATGTGGTGATAAATTTTGTTTTGGTCTACAACATTTTTCACTACCACCCTTCTCAGAGAAAATGTATGTAATACAGTATACTGTATTGTCTAATTCTTACACTCTCACTACCTGAAATGCTACCGCTAAGCATAACACAAGTGCTGTAAACACATTTGCATGTAATTAGTGCCAACCTTGTCCCATACCTATAACTGTAATTTTTTATAAATAAAAATCTGATTTGATTTGATTTAGTTATATGGAATGTAATAATTAACATGACTGTATCTTTACAGCTCAGTGTACATATGCTTTGACATAGCTTTACCCTAAAATACAGAACAGCATCACATGAGGGTTAATTAAAATGTATTAGGAAAATCCAAATCTCACACACATGAATAACCAACATCAAAAGTAACTTATTAGCAAAATTCCTTGTTGTGGGATGCAGTGTTAACAAAATCAGAATCTACTGTTTTACAGTGACATGCCAAAAATAGTTCCTGAGTATACAAAATAAAACTACATTACAGTACAAACTTCCATAAACACAAATGGCAAATCAGTATTTACCATTTCTACCATCATACGGCCGATTTGTTGAAAAAAAAAAAAAACATTGTGAGTTGTTGAAAGTAGTTTACAGTATGAGAATGCTACAACTGGGTGTAAGGCAGTAATGTTTTGGGTAGGTATTTATACTACAAGGTAGTTTTAAACTACAAGGTAGTTTTAATCACTGTATGAACTTTTGGTGTCACGTTTTGAAGTTTTAAGATTTAGGTAACTGGGAGATTTTTTGGTAAAGTTAAATAGTGAGTATTTAGTTTAGAATGAGTAAGTGGTTTTTGAGAAGAGTCTTAAGTTGATGTTCAGACTGGGAAACTTTAGTATTTACTGGTAATGAATTCCTAATTTTGGGGCCCTTTATGTGCATCGAGTTTTTACACAGTGTGATATGGACATGGGGTACATCAAAAAGAGATCTGTGTCTTGTGTTATGGTCATGTAGTATACCATTCAAACTGTATTAAAATACAGTAAATACACAGTCATACAACTTCTTTAATTTTATATTTTGTCAAAAAAAAAAAAGAATCAAAATCACTTTATTGAAAATACTGTTTAATACAGTATAGTTGACACTTGATCTTATACTGTCTGCTACAAGTTATAAGGTAATACTGTATAGGCTGATCAATCTCTCATATCAAGTGCAAAGACGCTATGAGCCTTGCTTTTAAGTTGCCACTTTTAAAAGCAAATTTTTAACCAAAATAGAGTTTTCATGCATAGTATGTCACAAGAACCAAAAAGCAGTGGGTACTGGCATTAATCATGGAAGTCATATGCTGAAGAAATAAAAAAAATATAGTTCACTTTTGAAAACTTCATTATGTTAAAATAAGATCAGTAACTATTATAAGGGAGTCAATTTCCATACTAGACAAATTAGCATTCAGACCCAGAGGTAGAGTATAGTGCCTGCATTCTGAAGGAGGGATGTGGATGTTGTAGTTCAGAGGGTCACTTGAACTGTGATGTGTGTTAGCTTCTGGCAAGATACCTTTTGAATGAATGATGATGAATGTGTTTTTCTTTTCTTTTTGGGGTCACCTTACCTTGGTGGGACACAACCAGTGTGGTAAAAAAAATAAATGAAAAATTGTATGTTTAAACATGTAAGTCTTTCTCATATGTATTAATTTAACTTCTTTCTTCCACAATTTTCAACCTAAGTAGCACATCCACAGGTGTGTTGGCATATATTTCATGGCAACTAAGGGCAAAATAAAGAAAAAGGTGAGGGAGGTGAACTCAAATAGTTACTGGCTACATTTGCCTGTGACAAAAGAATTATTATATATGTTATCAATACTAGTGACTATGGAATCATTTTAATTGCCTATTATTTCTTCATATGTCAAAAAAAATTACTAAATGTGACAGCTAATTTATTGCTCAAATCAGAATACAATTTTATACAACCTTGACAAAAATTTCATAGTAACTTATCCTTCAGAACTAAAAACATTGTAAAACCATGAGTTAACTTATCCTTGTAACCCTTGGGAACTATTAATGTGGAGAGGTGAAAGATAACCAAGCACCTTCATGTAATCCATTTCCATAAAGTATACTAGTACTCAGCAATAAGTATGTATAACCATTAGCTAGTAACATGAATAGTAAATGGACACACGTGCAATTATTTACTGTAGGAACATTTCACTCTCTAGGAGCTTTATCAAGCCGTAACAGTTTGACAAAGCTCCTGGAGAGTGAAGCGTTGCCACAGTAAAATATCACATCAGTTGCATCTGTGTCCATTTATCTAACATTTTGTCGGAAATTCTACCATTATTACTAATAACATGAAGCAGAGTCAAAATTTCTTAAAATTATGATTGCAATTTTACATCACATAATAACGAATTTTGGGATATGGCCGGTTTGTTAAAAAAAAAAAAATTAATAAGGAAACAGCTTTACCTTTCTCTTCTGATACAGAGTGATGACTCTTTAGCTACCTTTAATCTGTTATTATTTATGAATCGATTTGTATTTTTCAACACTGTTAGTATCTTTGTTTATTATTACTGCATGCTATGTTTATTATTTCTGCATGCTAAACAATTAAAAGAAAAGTTCTTTGCACTAAACATGAATGATATACAATATTCTAAAATTGTGGGAGAGTTAATATTAGTCAAAGGGTAAATACAGTATCTTATAAGATAGTATTAAGGGGTCAGCTGTAAAATCTGTATTCAGTTCATGCTTAATTGTACTGGGTTATGATATAAAATCATTATGAAGAAAATAAAAGTTGACCTTAAAAATTACGTTTAGATGTACCCTCTTCAAACTCTCTTAAGCAGGAGCAAAAATGTGTCTTATATGTCTAAAACACAAGCTATTATGTTTCTACAACACAAAGCCTTTAACTGATCCCCATCCATCAAGCTATTATATTTCTATGAAACAAAGCCTTCAACGATCCCCACTCACCAAGCTATTATATTTCTACAACACAAAGCCTTTAACTGATCCCCATTCATCAAGCTATTATATTTCCAAGAAACAAAGCCTTTAACTGATCCCCACCCACCAGGCTATTATATTTCTACAACACAGATCTATTAATTGATCCCCAATTCACCAACTAATGAATTATCACCATTCATGATATGGGTATCATACACAAAGGAGATGCAGTGTGGGAACATGATGTGGAACACTATATGTACTGTAGTCTACATACCAGAAAATTGAGTGCGAGTATGGAATTGGACTTTAGGCCCTGCAAGTGAAAGCAAATCTTTTTAGCTGCAATGCATTTATATTCAGAGTATGCATTCTTAGTTTATTAGCTTTAGAAATATTTCAAGTTTATAGCGTGAAAAAGATGCAAGTGCTTAAAGTCTCATGTAGAAAGAAACAGTAAAGTCATTGTAAATTTTAAGTATACTGTCAGTACATACTCACAAATGTCCAATACTCTATGTAATTAATAGGCAAAAATTCCACAAAATGTGAAAACAAATCCACAAACAAAAAAATTTCTAAACAAACAAAATTTAACAATTATTAAGGTTATGCAACAAAATTATGCAAATAAAAGACTATAACAAAATTAACAACAAGATTAGATAATATCACAATTATGGTCAATCTATTATACCAGAGCAGTGTGACTAAAACAGATATAAAATACCTAATAACACAGAGAAAAGACTCAGTGAACAGAACAATGATCATAGATACTGTACTTCACAACTACATGTATTACGTACCGCAAAATTCAAGGACAGTAAAGACTTTGACCTGAAACCCTGCAATATGGAGCAGATAATTACCCACTGCATCTTTATCTTTCATTCAAGCTTTGATTAGAGCTATTTCTAATCTCGCCATATTCAACACAGTACATGTATACAGTAAACTACGGTACAGGTTTCCCTTGCTTTATACAGACTCACTATATTCACATTCACTATTATGCAATGCCCCATTTCTATCTGTAATTCTGCATGTACAATACACATTTGCTATATGCAATTGGTCATTCTGCAAAGAGTATTGAACATTCTTATCATGCAGAATTAAGTGTTTATAGCCTGGGTGTGCTACAATGCCCCCAAAAATAAACTGGACCTCCCCTTCATTATCATGAAAATTATTAAAAAGCAGCCATATAAACACTATAGAACAAGAATTGCAATAGTGTACTTGGTATTTATGTTCATATTTTGTTGTCTTTCCCATCTGGGCAGGTTTTCACTGCCCAGCCAGTACCTGACCAACCGGGCTGTGGTTCGTATGTTAGCTTGTATGTGGCCAGCAGTAATAGCCTGGCTGATCAGATCTTGATCCACCATGAGGCCTGGTCTCAGATAGGGCGACGGGGGCGTTGACCCCCGAAACCCTCTCCAGGTAAACTCCATTGCTGCTGGCATTACATTGTAAACCTCAATATTTTTCTCAGCAAGTCAGGGAATAGTCTGGACCTCAGTCCTATTCAGAATGCCTGGAATATCATGAAAAAAAAAAAAAGATGGAATCCTGCCACATTGCATCCACATATCCACACTGTGCCAGCAGCAACAACTCAAGGTTATTTGGGTCAACCAGTTATCCACTGATTACTTCAGGATTCTGAATGAAAGCATGCCCAAACAGCCTCAAGTGGACATCAAGGCCAAGGAGGAGATGACAAAATATTAATGTAAGTACTAAGTATTGCAGATTTTGTTCTGTAATGTTTATATTGCTGCTGTTTAACAATTTTTGTATTAATAAAGGGAGAGATCTGGATTATTCTTTGTGGGAACTGCAAGTACAGCTACCATGGCTCTGGAAAGCATCTACTGTATATAGCGAGGGACACCTGTAGTTTTACCAAACATTTTATTAAAAAGTTGATCAAATAAAAATATTGTATATTGCTTAACAAAACATTATTAGGAAAAAAATTCAACAGCAGCAACACAGAAACTCTTATTATAGTGATGTGTAATGATACACATACACATATAGGTGGGTATACACACTAAAGATTAAAGATTTTATTTCTCTGCAATGGTTACAATGTTTTATTACAATATTGATTTGTTAAGTACAAAGAAAACCACTATCATGCCAGGGAATTTCGGGCAAACTAATCCTAGTACATAATAACTATACTTAAGTCTAGACAAGATGAGAATGGTTAACTTTGTTATAAATCTTTATATTATCTTAATACTAATGTGAGGTAGTCAGGATGGAGGTTTATAAGAATAATAATTTTGAAAGTTGCACATAATAAAAACAATATTACAATTAATGGTTCAAACAGTAATATTTTATGGGTTGGCAGATGTTTTAATAGACTAGAGGTCATATAATACAATATTTGGGAGAGTTGCTTCAAACTGATTAGTTGTTTTGGTTGATTTGGTTAGTATTGAGAAATGAGATGATTTTTAAGCATAGCCCTAAATTTGAACACAGTCAGGGGATCCTTAATCGGTTCAAGTAGTGAATTTCAGATCTTTGGGCCTTTCATGTGCACTGCATTTTTGTATAGTGTGAGACTGACACGAGGGATGTCGAAGAGTGCCTTGTGCCTTGCATTGTGACTGTGCGTTCTGTTGTAGCTGTCAAGGAGAAGTTTAAGCGGAGGGTTTATAATAGAGTTTAATGTTCTGTACATATAAAAGACACATTAATATGAGTGTATGTCTTGTACATTTAGTAGGTTCAGACTTTTAAAAAGTGGTGAGGTGTGCTGTCTGGCACAGGAGTTGGTAATCATACACACAGCAGCTTTTCGTTGGGTTATGAAAGGTTTAAGGTGGTTGGCTTTGGTTGACCCCAGGCACAAATACCATGGGTGAGATAGGGATATATTAAAAGTTGTATAGGGTAAGGAGTGTTGTTTAGGGCACATAGTACTGTATCTTAGAAAGGATGCCTACTGATCTGGAAATTTTCTTAGATATATGCTGGATGTGGGGATGAAATTTAAGATTACAGTCAAGGTGAAAACCTAGAAATTTACCCTTAGTGTGTCTTGTAATGGGGGAACCATTTATCGATATATTAAGTTGGATATTTAAGGCTCTGTTTCCAAACAGCATGAAGTATGTTTACTCAAACATACACACACAGGTCCACACCACACACAACCACACCACACAAAACCACACATCACACATAGCCACACCACACATACAACCACACCACACACACACCATGCCTCACCTTACAAAACCACACCACACCACACACAGCCACATAACCATACAACACATAACCACACCACACCACACACAACCTCACCACACAACCACACCACACACACACACACACACAACACACACCACACCTTACACAACCACATTACACCACACAACCTCACCACACAACCACATTACACCACACAACCTCACCACACAACCACACCACACACAACCACACCACACACAAAACAGGCCAAGTGTCTCTCAATGAGTGCCTTTGCCAACTAGTAACTACTACTATCTACTTATACACACTTACCCACACACCACACTTACACTTGCACACATGCTTACATTTACATGCACATAAGAGAGGCCAAGTGTCTTTCTTAGTGACAAGAGCCTTTGTAGACAGTAGGCCTACCTAGTGGGTAGGCCTAGTGTCTACAAAGACCTGATCAACCAGGTTGTTACTGCTGGCCTGGTTGATCAGGCCAGCAGATGACAAATGGAAACTAACACACACACATACAGCTGTGAATCACCCCTACAAGAACATATAGGTACACACAAACACACACAAAACTCTGATGGAATAATAAATAAGTGGGAGGAGTGGCACGAAAGAGTCAAAGAGGCATCACCGGATTTCACAGCCCTCACAGAAACCAAGCTCACAGGGATGATAACAGATGCCATCTTTCCAACAGGATATCAGATCCTGAGGAAAAACAGAGGAAACAGAGGGGGGTGGAGGAATGGCACTGCTGGTCAAAAACCGATGGGATTTTGATGAGCTGGAGAGAGGAGACAGAGGAGAAGCAAGAGATTACATAATACTAACACTTCAGTCTGGAGGTCCCAAGGTGGTAATTGCTGTGATGTATAACCCACCACAGAACAGCAGGAGGCCAAGGCAAGAATATGATGAGAGTAATAGAGCAATGGTTGACACACTAGGTGAAGTGGCCAGAAGGGCTCATGCAAGCAGGGCAAAGCTACTGATCATGGGTGACTTCAACCATAAGGAAGTCAATTGGGAGAACTTGGATCCACACTGAGGCCAAGAAACGTGGAGGGCTAAGATGATGGAGGCGGTACTGGAACACCTCATGTGCCAACATGTAAGGGACACTACCAGAGAGAGAGGAGAGGAGAGGAGAGGATGAAACAGCAAGATTGGACCTAGTATTCAAATTGAGTAGTGCAGATACTGAGAACAGCACATATGAAAGACCCCTGGGGGGCAGTGATCATGTGGTTTTAAGCTTCGAATATACAGTAGAGTTACAAGTGGAGGGGGAAGCAGGAAGGGCTGGACGAATGAAGCCAAACTACAAGAAAGGGGACTACGCAAGCATGAAGAACTTCCTCAACAGGGTTCAGTGGGACAGAGAACTGGCAGGGAAGTCAGTAGACGAGATGATGGAATATGTAACAACGATATGCAAGGAAGCTGAGGAGAGGTTTGTACCCAAGGGTAACAGGAATAATGAAAAAGCCAGGATGAGCCCATGGTTCACCCAAAGGTGCAGGAAGGCCAAAACCAAGTGTGCTAGGGAATAGAAGAAGTATAGAAGGCAAAGGATCCAGGAGAATAAGGAGACCAGTCATAGAGCCAGAAATAAATATGCACAGGTAAGACGGGACACCCAAAGGCGATATGAGAATGACACAGCAGTGAAAGCTAAATGTGACTCAAAACTGTTGTACAGCCACATCAGGAGGAATACAACAGTCAAGGGCTAGGTAATCAGGCTGAGGAAGGAAGGAGGGGAGGTCACAAAAAACGACTGCAAATTATGTGAGGAGCTCAACAGGAGATTCAAAGAAGTGTTCACAGAGGAGACAGAAGGGCCTCCAGAAAGTCAGAGTGGTGGGGTACACCATCAAGTCTTGGACACAATACATACAACCGAGGAAGAAGTGAAGAGGCTGTTAAGCGAGCTAGACACCTCAAAGGCGATAGGGCCAGATAACATCTCTCCATGGGTCCTGAGAGAGGGAGCAGAGGCGCTTTGTGTACCACTAACAACCATCTTCAACACATCTATCAAAAAAGGATGACTACCGGAAGTATGGAAGACAGCAAATGTAGTCCCAGTCTTTAAAAAAGAAGACAGACATGAAGCATTGAACTACAGACCAGTGTCACTGACATGTATAGTATGCAAAGTCATGGAAAAAATTATCAAGAGGAGTAGTAGTGGAGCAACTAGAAAGGAATGAGCTTATCAACGACAGCCAGCACAGCTTCAGAGATGGGAAATCCTGCGTCACAAACCTACTGGAGCTCTATGACAGGGTGATGGCAGTAAGACAAGAGAGAGAGAGAGGGGTGGGTAGATTGCATTTTCCTGGACTGTAAGAAGGCATCTGACACAGTTCCACACAAGAGATTAGTGCGGAAGCTGGAGGACCAGGCAGGGATAACAGGGAAGGCACTACAGTGGATCATGGAATACCTGTCCAGAAGACAACAGCGAGTCATGGTACATGGCGAGGTGCCAGAGTGGGTGCCGGTAATGAGCGGGGTGCCACAGGGATCAGTCCTAGGACTGGTGCTGTTTCTGGTATTTGTGAATGACACGATGGAAGGAATAGACTCC